TAATTTTAGGAAAATTTTCTTAAATTAGTTTAAGAAATTTTCCTGTTACTTTGCTTTGATGTTTTTCTTCAGAAAAATTTTCTTTGCCTATTTTCAGTATTTGTCACTTTCTCTCGAATATTCTTTTCCTCCTTAGGCATTTTTCTTAAAAAGAATTTATTTTCAGATAGTTACAGATTCATAAGCCATTGTAAGAAATAATACTGAGAAATTCTACATATGTTCCTCCCAGTTTCCCCCAAAGATGATCTTGTATAACTTTAGTTGAGTATCAAGATTAGCAAATTGACCAGGAAATTCATCAAGCTTATCAGATTTCTCTAGCTTTTCATGCACCTGTGTATGCCTTTATTTCATATTAATTCTGAGCAGATTTAATGCATAGGGTCAGCTGAGCACTGCTGCATTCATGATACAGAGCAATTTCATCACAAGGATCCCTGGCGATTCCTTTTAGTAGCCATGGTACTGGCTTCCGTTTCATCTTTTCTTACCCTTGGCAACCGTGAATCTGTCCCCATCTCTATAATGTGATTATTTCAAGAATTTTATATAAATGGCATCACTTATATAACTTTAGGCAGTTGGGCTTATACCCTCACTCAAAGTCATTCTCTGGAAATTCACCCAAGTTATTGCAGGTATTGACAGTTCGCTCTTTTTTATTGCTAAGTGGTATTTCACACTGTGGATGTATCACAGTTAACTTATCCATTTACCTGGTAAGGATATCTGGGTAGATTGCAGTTTTGGGTGTCTACTAATGAAGTTAGTGGACACTCAGAAGCAGCTTTTACACACGCACAGTTAGAGCCTGTCTGCATCTATCACGTACCCAGTGGCTGTTGGGGTTCCCCCACCTCAGATCTGCCAGATGCTGCCTCATTGTGTCTTTGCTCCAGATTCCAGGATCAGGCAGGCTTTTTTTTTTTTGGGGGGGGGGAGGGGTGGGGCGGTGTTCCTAGAGATACCTTTTCTTTCTTCTGGTTTTGTTATACATGTTTTCCAAGGGCTCTTGCTCTTAAGTTTTTGTGTTATTCTGTGGATACTCAGGGATACTGGATAATGTGCTATTTCATGCTTTTCACAGGATCATCACTGAATCCACACCTCAGCTATGTATTTAAAAGTATCTTGTTTTCACAGTCTTTGCAATGCGTATAATCCTAACACTCTGGAAGACTGAGGCAGGAAGACTATGTTTAATTCTAGTCTGGGAAGCTCAGTGAATTAGCGACAATCTGTCTCAAAATAAAGGAAAAAAAATAGGGCTGTACATGTAGTTCAGTGTGAGGACCTAGGTTCAATCTCTAACACCACAAAAATATTTATAGTGTAATTTTACAATTTGTTTTATGAGTGGAGCCCAGACATAATAACTTAACATGCAGGAGATTTTATTCAGTTCATTCTTTAGTTCAGTCTTAAGTTGTGGAAGCTCAGCCTAGAATTGCATATAAGTCTTCCTTTCCTTTAAGCAGTTAATTAACCTTTCTGTACTTCAGTGTGGAGATAATGACAGACACATCTTTACTAGTTTCTTATAATTAAATAGTAACTAGACACAAAACTTCCTAGAATAGTGCCTGGTGCATGGTAATTACTCAGGTAAATTTTGTTATTACTATTGTTTGTTTTGGATACCTGTATTCTCATGTCACAGGGATGAATATTAAACTTGAACATTCAGAGAGCAGTGCTGTCTTTTATTTGTAAGTTCTGAGACTACTTTAGCAATTAAGAACTAATCTTGCGGCTAAGGATTTAGCTCAACAGCACAGTATGAGTCTAGCAAGTGTAAGGTCTTGAGTTTGATTCCAAGTACCAAAACAAAACAAAACAAAACAAAACAAAACAAAACAAAAAACTGAAGAACTAATCTTACCATATTTTCTTTTTAAAATGCTTTGGAAGGTAAATTTACATAAATTTGAATTTTCTCTTGTTATCCGGTGCAGCATGTGGTGCCAGGGATTGAACCCAGGTCCCTGTGAATATTATTTTTGATAACTAGAATCAACTTGTTTCTGGAAAGTAGGCCTCTCTTCTCCAGCACTGGGCACAGCAAGTGCTCATTAACTGTGCCTGTGAAATAGAGACTTGGTCAGGACCTGTAGTTAATGCATCTTTGAGAGGCATAGACGGTAACTGACTGGTCCTATGTTGCAGCACCCTTCCCAGTTTGGACGCCCCCTACCCCATGCTGATCCTAGCTGGGCCTCAAGCTTGTGGGAAACGAGAACTGGCTCACCGCCTGTGCAGACAGTTTAATACTTACTTCAGATATGGGTAAGTTTGCCTATTGGCTTGTAAGCCTGAGAAATTCTTCCAAGTTGTTGTTTCCTGATAGAAATCTCAGATATTCCTAGTTTTGGCTCACATATGTACGGAGCAACTTGTTTCTGATGCATCCTGCAGTAAAGCTAGAAGTGGGAAGTTAATTGAACGCTCAATAGATATGAACTCTGGGTAAGGACAGAGCATCTTGAGAGTGTTGGTCATTGAAGGTTATTTATTGATAAAATCAGATCAATGTGATTATCTAGTCTTAGAAATATTGGGAATCCTGATTCTCATGCCATCCTAATTGATGTGGTCGAGGTGCTTATTAAAGTATACTCGTAGTTATAGAAGAACTTCACAAGTAGAAAGTAGTAAGATAGTTTATCTTTTGTGCGCCAGACAGCAATGAGCACTGTATCAGACAGTCAAACGAATGTGGTACATCTGTGCCATCACTTATCTTTTACAGAGATTTACTTTCTTTTCTGTGTATTATATTGAATGGGTTTTTTTAACCTTAATTCTTTCCATGTTTAACTTAATTCAATGTCAGCCCAAATCCCTCTACATGGTTTGAAAATACTTGGCTCTTTAATTGAACAGAATGGTGTTTGAAGGCAGGATGCCTCTGCTGTTGTCCTGCAGGGTGACAGCATGCATCACATTGTACTAATGGGTGGTGCTGTGCTCCAGGAATACCCTGGCCCTTTTTCCTGCTTTGCCTGGCAGACATTCTGGCAATACTTGAGCTTCTGAGTCTCCAGAACCACCTTACTCTTCTAAGGAACATTTCAGGAGGAAGGACAGAATAGATGCAGCAAAAGTGTTTCTTTCTGTCCTGTCCTTCAGAGAAGCAATCAATACACTCAAGCTTTTTTTGGAAAATATTGTGTTGAGTGATTCCCTTATGGCCCTGTTAAAATATAGGATAGTATAGGAAGACTGGTACCATCTAAGAAAACTGTCCTGCTGGATTTACAGATTTGTTAGAGGTATCTGGGAATCAGATTTAGAATTATCACTGCATTTTCTTAAATGAGTTTCCTCTTTTATTTTTTATGTGTGACAAAAAGAATTTTTTTTTTTTTTGATTAGTGGTATGTACTGATGAGCTGAGGATGTCACTACAAAGACATATAGGACAGCAAGAAAAATAAGTGCATACTTGTCCAATACTGTCACAAAAGCCCTACAAGCTACACATGTTCAAACAAGAGTTCCTAGTAGCTGTTATCTACTTTACATTCCATTTTTCATTCATTTAGATATTTAAAATTTCAGCCCACATTTGGACAACTCTAGGATGCACATACTGTAGGATAATTTGATTAATATATTTAAACACTCTGCAATAACGAAAATAAAAATTAATACTAGAATTTAAAAAGTCTACAGTGCCATTATACTTATGTGGAGGGACCTAACCTGTTTTAAAAGATAAGCTGAGAACAATGACTAGAAGGTCAAACTAGGGCAAAAGAGTTTGTGCTGAGTGTTGTGCTACTGTATAAATCTGGAACACTTTAGCAACCAAAATGACTTAAGAAGCTAGGGATTTTTCTGTTTTTTTTTTTCTTTTTTTAATATCCTTGATACCAATTATATTGCTAATAGTTGATAGCCCAATCCTTTTTATTTGCTTGTGATGTGCTACTGCAGAGGCATTATTGGTTTGATGTGTTCGTGGAGATGTTTATTGAATCACCATCAAGATTCTGATCTAACTGGCATCTATATTCTACCTGCCCTTCCCTTACTCATTTTCACTAAGTCTTGCATTTTCCTTAGTAGAAAGCTTATCATACTTTGATAGGTTTATTTCGTGTCTGTTTCCCTGCTCATCTGTAACTCCAGTGAGGGCAGGGACCATGTCAGCCTTGTCCACCTTGTTTGGGTTTTCAGTGCCCAGCACATGGCCAGCCACTGAATGTATGTATGGTGAATGTCTGGGAAATGACTGAGTGAATGAATAGCTAAATTAATGTTAACATGTGTAGTGCTTACTGAGCATGCTTGTGATAAGAGTCATAGGCAATATTCCGTGTATGTATATGGAATGGGATTGATACATTCATTCAGTAAATACTTGTTTTTTCCATGTGCTTGTCTCTGAGAATAGAGTGAAAACAAGACTAGTGAGGTTGCCTTCCTAAATGTGTAATCTGGTGGGAACTCAGGCCTTAGATAATCAGCGCTGTGGCCTGGGATGGCAAAACAGAATCTTAAAACGAACCTCACATCCCGTACTGTCGGTACTGCCTCAGGTATTTTTCTCCTTTGGCTGGAATTAGTGGTGAGTGGAAAAATACCCCTGACTGCTCCCTACTGATTGTAGCCTCACTCATCCGCCTACCTCAGAGGCTCAGGAGTACAGGCCAGCCACTCATTGCCACCCTCACAGTGGCAGAGACCAGGGCTTGTTTGGGGGTACGTGTCATTCTGAGATTTCCATCAATGCCCAGGGCAAAGACCATGTCACAGGATTTTTAAAAAAGCTGTTAGATAACTAGTAATTTCATCCATTGAAAAAGTAAGAGAGTTCTCCCATTTTATGCAGCAACTTTCTAATTAAAAGTGAAGATAAAACCAAAACACATCTTCAGGGGCAAGATAATGCTTTTGTTTAGACTTCTTTTTGAATTCTTTATCCAACATAAGTTTTATTGATTTTTTAATTAAATGAAAGCAGGCATGGATATGGTCTCATTGTGAAATATAAAATGTATTTATAAAGACATTTTCCTTGCCAGTTGCTTGAATATTTTCATCCTATTTATTTGCTCCTGGTGTTTTACTTCCTTTGTAAATTAACACTGACTGAAGATCCAGACATTCAGTGAAATTTTCACATGCTAAGTTGTGTATCCAGATAGACAAATAAAAGCATAATGCAGTCGTCATATAACAAATAGTGGTGTGGCTGAGAAATTCTGCTCTTATTTTAGGTTGTGATTTTACTATTTCTTCTTGTTTTTAGAAATAGATTGGATGTTCATTCTTTACCTCTGTTAGTTACGGGTGGCCTGGAGATGCACACGCACTGCCTTCAGCATCTGTTTATTTCTAACTTTATATTAGCACACAAATCAGTGGCTTCTTGGAAAAGCGCTGCATAATAAGAGTGCCATGAAACAATACCAGCGTGCACATTAATCTTTCAGATTTATAGCCTTGTTACTTATCTGAATAGTCTTGAAAGAAAACCTTTATTTTTATTTAAATATTTTATAGCAATCTCTACTTTTCTAATTTGCTCATGATGTTGACTAGTATATTTTACTTTTAGCATTATCATAAAGTAATTGCATTATAATAAAGTAGTTGCATGAGGTGGTATGAAGTATAGCAACCTAAATACAATCTTCTCTGCTTTGTCTGTAGAAATATAACAGACATGAAAAATGTCTCATTTTCTCATTCAGCCAATATTTATTGAGTGCTATCTATGTGCCCTGTGCTGGTGAGAAAACTGAAATAAACAGACATGGGTCTTGTCCTCTTGGAAGCTTCTGTTCATTCTAGTAGAGAATTTAGACAGAAATGCTGTCTAACAAGATAGTTTGCAATTATGAGGAAAGTCAAGAGGGATCAGCGTGAAAGAGAAACAGGATGTGGAGCTTGAGTGAGGTCACACTCCTCACAGAGAACATCAGGCAGGTTTCATTACCTAAGCACACACATGGCTGAACCTGAGGTATGATGGAAAATGCAGAAAAAGAGACTGGAAAGAGAGTTAGGGTTCTGGTCACAAAGAGCTTTTAAGATGGAGAATAGGATATTCTCAGTTGCATTTTCAAGAGTAAGTGTCCCATCAGCAGTTAGGACAGGGCTTGCTGAAGGAATGCTAGAGATAGGAGGACCATCAGAAGATAGTGCAAGAGATGAAGGCAGGTGTTGGAAGGCAGTGCATAGTAATGGAATATGAGCAGAGTAGAGGCTTCAAGAAATCTAATATTCAGACATAGTATGTGTGGGAATCCCTGTGTTCATGGCCCTTAAATTGTGTCCAGCAATTTGTTGATATATATTTGCATTGAGTGTTAAAACCAATTTAATTTACCTATCTATGTTCCAGAAATACCTGGGCTTTTGTGGGTACCTGTTGAAAAAGCTCACTCACAGTATAGTGTGTTGTAATGTGTGTGAGTTCATATGTGCTCACCACCAAGCCTCTGTATAAATATTGGTAGTATCAAGAAGTGCAGTGTTTCCTGTGGCAATCTGGTCCCAAATTGAGATTCTAAATATACATGCTTCTGAATCACACTGAAAAAAAAGTCTACTTCCTCATCCTTTTGCCAGCTGTTCTCAGACATCTTTTCTTCCTATTACATTTCCCTTGATATTTTAGCATTCCACTTTTTTGGCTTGTTTATCCGAATTCCTATTGCTCCAGGTCATCTCCTTGCCGGGGCTTTTTTCTTAGTGACGTTAATGGCAGCCTGCAATTAATTGGCCCTTAGAATATCTAAACTTATTCTTAGACTTTTATTTAGCCAAATATAGATATTTGGCTATTTCAGGCTGCCTTCAGGGTGGCTGTGGTGTGGCTTGTGGAGCAGGGAATCAAACTGCGGTTCCCTGCGACTGATTGTGTGGCCCCCAAGTGGCGCCTTAAACAACTGAGCTAACCAGCAAGCCCCCTAGACTTTTATTAGGATCAGAGTTGTATTCTGGGTTAGTCTCCAGATCGGTCCTTTTGTCTATTAAGTAAAACAATAGGAAGTATGACTCCTATTACAAAGCATGATTTGATATTTACTTTGATTTACCTAGTAAGTTAATAAGGAAGAAACTCATGGATCTATTTAGGCAGAGGAGGGGTAGCATATTGAAAGATATGGCTCAAATAGATTTGTCAATTTAACATGACTTTTTTTCAAGTAAGTTTGGTGAAGCATTGCTTTCACTATGAGGTATTCCTTTTTAAGTTATTCTCAATTGGGCAGCATCCTACACAGCATTTCTATATCTCAAAATTGGATGACAGATTCAAAATACCACAGGTCATCTTAGGTTCTTCTTAATAAAATGTTATACACAGCTATAGATTCTGTCATAACCTTCTCCACATCAGTGGGACCATATTTTGTTTACCTGCCTAGATGCCTCAGATTACTTCTTTGTTTTGTCTTCCTTTTAAAAATTCTGAAAAAAAAGTACCTGCTGCTCAGTCCCTTTCTAGGAAATGTAAATTCGGTGTAGCATGTAAAGATTGTGCGAAGGGTTTGCAGCACAGGATAGTAGGCCACACGCTTATCTTCCCTAACTGTCAGGGACATGAGTAGACAGAGGGTCTCAGGTCTCTGCCAAGGCAGGGGAAGAAATACCTGTGCATTCAAACCACAAAACAAGTGTGTTTCAACAGTCTCTCTGAAGATGCATACTCTTTCCGGAGTCTGCAACTTTAATGTGAAGACCCTCAGGTGTCCTAGTGCCATTGATAATTGATTATAATAGGAGGGGAACAGTCATGTGAGATACAAATATTTGCCTTTGATTTTATGATTGGTAGATTTTGAGTTTGCAAGTTTACGCTCTTAATTACTATGCTGTTACAAAGAGCTTACTTTGGAGTCATGTGGATGTTGATACTTAGGAATGTACATAATTGTGCCTCAGTTTCATCATTTGTAAAATAGAAATGAGAAATAATATCTGCCTCATGGTTTTTTTAAAAAAAACTAAGTGAAGTAACATGTCAAGTGTTTAGCTATTATCATCTTTTATTTTAAAAATCACAGTGTGATCTAAAAACCAGTTTGCTCTCCCATAACTTAACACTGGGAGGGCAGAATGTCCTCAAATCAAGGGTCTTGGGTAGTGGTCAGTGTGACCTTTGGCAACTTACTTTCATAGTTATCTATACAGTGGAGTTCCCAGCTGCTGTTAGCTCCATTTGTGCCTTTTGCTTCTATCCATTTTATAGTTACTTCGTGAATATATGCTCTATGTGAGGCCATGGGAATGAAAATGAACAAGACAAAGTCTTCCTCTCATGATTTATATGTTCTTGGGAATATAGAAAAAAATCTGTATGAAAGAATACAATTCTGATAGTAAAGAGTAGTCAGGGATCTTAAGGGGTCAGGATGTTATTTTAGCGCATAGAAAAGACCTTTCTGGTTGAGCTGAGAATTCCATTCAGCATTGGTCTTATAGAGTTCCATAGAAAGGTCAAATATAATACTGGCATGTGCTGTAGCACAGGGTGAATGAGAAGTCTTTGCCCTCAAGTGTTGGAGGAAATGGAACTCTAACAATCATTAGACTACAACTGGCACAGTTGGGGCTATGGGCATATGAAGAGGGGCACAGTGTAGCCACAGGAACTCAGTGGAAATGCTGGGAGAGGTGACAGTTGAGTCCTACAAAACAAGTGGGCCAGTAAGGTGGAGGGGAGCCTGCAGAAAATACTCATAGAGCAGAGAGAACATGAAAGCAGTTGGGTGAGTAATGTACGCTATTGTACTTATTCTAGAATTATTAGGTGATGGCAGAAGGGGTGATTCAGAAGGCATTTCCATAATCCTTATAGTCTGTAGGTGATTGAGTCTAGTCTAGTCCTTTGCAACCATAGTATCTTCACAATTAGGTTATTTTATGATTTATGCTGCATGGACCAATTTCAGGTTTTTAAACATTTTGTTTACTAAAACCTCCATTTTGAATTTCAAGGTAATAGAAATAAACAAGGTTATCTATTTTGTGATTTCAGAGCCTGTCACACTACCAGGCCACCATATTTTGGAGAAGGCGATCGAGTTGATTATCATTTTATCTCTCAAGAAGTTTTTGATGAAATGCTTAACATGGTAAGGTTTTTTCTTTATTTTTATTGTATAAGTAATATGTGTTCTACTTCAGAAATAGTAAGAAATAGTGATTTTTTTTAAAAGAAAAAGTTAAATTTTGTACTTGTAAATCTCTTTTGAGTTGAAATATTCTTGTTTATGTGTTTTGCTTTTACTGAAACTCTGATAATCTAGTCATTGTTAGTAATGCACAGCACCCTTGTCTCTGAATTCACTTAAAAAAATTATTTATATCTTTTTGGCCTTCGTACAGAAAGGTAGTCCCCACAATCCTATCATGTGTGATCTATTGAAAGTGCATGCAGATGTCAGAATATACCCACTCTGGACTTCAGTTAAAGCTGCTTTTTCATCACCATCAGCCTTATTTTTGTTAATGTTGTCCTTTCCATTGCTGAATGAATCCCACACTGCTGCATTTACTTCTAAAGCTTTCTGTTTTCTTTTCTTTTTTTTTTTTCTGGAACCGGAGATTGAACTCAGGCCCTTGTGCTTGCCATGGAAGCACTTATTCTACTGAGCCATCTCCCCGGCCCTTCTAAAGCTTTCTTGAATGGCCATATGAGGACCTGATCTGTTATTGCCTTTGAAAGATCGCCTCCAGTTGGTGACACTGACAGCTCTGTCTTCCCCTCCTCTGCCTCCTTCTCTTTTGTCCTCTAGTCTTTGTCTTTACCCCTTAATAATGACCCTGGATTGGACCCTCAGTATGCATCATCAGGTATCATTTAAGCATCTCTGAGCATTTAAGCTCTGCAGCCCCCCATAGTTCATTCTGAAGGACCAACTCTGCACACTCTGTACTTCTTAGACACTACCCCAGAAATGCCAATGAGAATGTTCTACACTCTCAGGGCTCTTTCTCCTCTAATGTTGTCAAAAAGATATTGTGGTTGTTATAATTTATTTTCTTTCTTTTATAATTTATTTTCTAATGGCTCTGTTTTGGGACTTAGTTGAATTTATTGAGTCCTCTGGAATTTCCTTCCTAAAAGCCTTACTAGAGATTGGATAAGTTATCTTGATAGTACTAAGAGCCATTCTCTTAAGACTTTTAAAACAAGATTGGGCACATTTAGGATGGTATGGCTACAGGCTCTTTTAAGACTCTAGGTTAAAAGATAACTAGTTCCCAAAATTATTGTTAAGTTTTCCTGGTAGATTTTGAGATATTTTCCCATTGGTTGTGTTCACCGTTGTTGAGTACTCTACCTGCTGCCCTTATGTTCCTCACCTTCTCAGGTCTGAAGTCAAGTGAGTCTGGTTCAGTTCCTAGTCTTAAGAAATCACTATACTTCCATGTTATATTTAGCCTGTAGTTTTGCATTCCCCATAAAAATCCCCATGTGTTTGAGAAGTATTCATTTTTACTGTTTCTGTTAACATATATTACTTTAATATACTATAATTTTCTTCTACTTGAATTTTGCCTTAGTTTCAACATGAGTGTGAGACTGTTTCTTGAGGAGATAAACCTAGAGATTATAAATTCATGACACATTGTCAGATGCCCCAGTCACACCCATACCCTCAGCCCTCTGTATGTAGATAGATGCCTCTCACACCCACAACTCCTACCCAGACAGCATGACCTCCTTCGACAGACACCCTGGCCTACTGCCCTCAACACCTCCTGTGGGCAGTCACACTTCCCTGCTGTGACAGGTATAACATATGACCTGTACCCTTCCATATCCACAGGCCTCCTCCATCAGACGCCTCCCCCAAGCTGCAGATCATTCCACAATGTGCCCCACAGACACCTGAACCCTTTTTACAGGCACATATGTGATCACTTACCCACAGAAGTAAGTGGGTGATTTCATTTCTTTGCCTTGTGGAAATGAAAGCATAGACCTGGAAATTTTTGAAGTATGACCATTGTTATTTATGAAAATCCACATGCAGCAAGAAATGAAGGAGTATTATAGCCAAAATAAGAGACTACGTCATCCTAATGCTTAACAAATCAATTTAGAGGGATTAGATAGACAGATAGCTAGATAGCTAGATAGCTAGATAGCTAGATAGCTAGATAGCTAGATAGCTAGATAGCTAGATAGCTAGATAGCTAGATAGATAGATAGATAGATAGATAGATAGATAGATAGATAGATAAGATTTCTCCTAGCCCTGCATCCATCTAGAAAATGTTTTGGAGATCTACAAAGAATGTCCTTGTACACACAAGTAAGCAAACACTTATGTGAAAAGTAATTCAAATATCTATACATTTTGAAAACAGGGTGATAGAGTATTAGCCAGGTTTTTCCACAAAAACAGTACCAATAGGGTGTATGGATGTATATAGAAGGAGATAATCAAAGGACTCTACTTATCTGTTTATAGAAATTGGCAAGCCGAAATCTGCAGTGTGGGCCCGCCCACCTGTGCCCAGGAAAGTGGGTGGTGCAGTCCAGAAGCTGACCTTTTTGTCCCATATAGGTCTTCCCCTGACTAGTGAAGCCACTTACATTGTGGAGGGCAGTATGCTGCTCTGTTCCCCAATTTAAATGTTAATCTCATCCTCAGACATCCTCTAAATCAACACATGAAATTAACCTTCACACACTGTAGAAGATAAAGCATATATACTTGGAGAGCTAGATACCTAGGGTTAGGAATATATCATATGTATATATGTATATATAAGGAAAAGGAGTCATATTTTTTTCCAGAGAACAAAGACAGTATAATATTGAAGAAGTACAATTTTAAGGATTGTTTTGTGTTTTACCTTTGGAAATACTATACATAACAGAAACTTCTTTTGATTATGGTATGGTATGGTTTTTCCTCATTGCCCGAAGGAGGCACATCTCCCAGAGCCCCAGCCAATCCCAAGAGAAATCCTGTGACTCTTGCTCAACATCTTTCCCATGACAGATAGCCCATCCTCCATCTGTACAGATCTCCAGAATGTCTGGGCCCAAGAGGGTAGCAGTAGACTCTTAACTACATGCTATTCTTAATGATGTTGCTGCCCTTTGGCGAGATTCAGTGCAGCCCTGGAAGGTCTCCCTTTTTATTTGCTTTAAAATCAGATATATCAGAAACGACACTTACTAAGGTCACCCACATTTCTGTTCCTTTTATTGTCATCAGCTTCTCAGTTTAGATTAGACCTAGTGGTTTAATAAATATAATATTGTCAATGAAAGAGTCAAGCAATTTTGAGTTATGTAGTTTTTATTCACATTTTTTTCAAGGGAGTACAGCTGCTGGAAGAACTGAGCTTCTGCAATATAGACAGGGTGCTATTTGTTTTCAGATGACTAGGGCTACAATTCTGCTGAATAATATTTGGAAAAGTTTCAATAAAAGATTATTTATGAAGAAAAAATGTGGTGAGCCCATTTTTTAGTGTTGAAACTGTCTATGTATATCATAGCCATCAGAAATTATCTGTGGCTGAAAACAGGAGGATCACTATGAGTCCAATCTACGAAATGAGACCTGTAGACCCTGTCCTAAATACAGTAAAAAAGGAAAAGAAAAGAAATCATCTGTAACTCATGGTTTATCTTGGAATGCAAAGGTTTGGCAAATAAGAACCTTTTATGGACTACCTGGGTTGTTGACAGAGCTGAAATGGTAGAGGCAAAGAGCAGGCTATTGGTTCCACTGTCTCTAATGAAGAATTATGGTATGGCTTTGGTAGTTAGTGGGTAGGGAATCCAAATGGTCTGTCATACAGTAAGATTCAATCCTTACCCTCCTCTAATATTTTGTCAACAGATTATTTCCACAAACCATTTTTTTGATCAGCTGAGGATCTGAATAAATTTCTCTATCACTACTTAATGTTCAATTTCATAACCATGTTATCATTTTGTCATTCCTACAGTTGCTAATATTTGTTCAAAATAAGAGATCAAGTTATTTTACTTATACCAAATTTCATTATGGCTTCTGTTACATGAATATCTTTATGCTTTTCAAATTCTAGGGGAAATTCATTCTAACATTTAATTATGGCAGTTACAGTTATGGATTAAATAGGGACACCGTAGAAGGTATCGCAAGAGATGGTTTAGCAAGCTGTATCCATATGGAAATAGAAGTAAGTGGTTTTTATTCAATTCATTGTGCGTGTGTTCGTGCGCACATGCGTGAAGTTAGATTTACAATTTGTCGGCAGCACAGTGCTGAGCACAAGAAAAATACATTCCAGAGTGTGAGGAATTGCATTTGTAATTAGTGTGGGGCCAGCAAGACATGTGAAGAGTTAGGTGACAGAATTTAGGTCACAGTTCAAGAAGTTGAATATGTGGTATTAGTAAAATGGCCATTCGATATCTATTTTCTTTTTTACAGCACGGCAGTGTTAGATAAAGCCTAATTTGTGCTGTGCCTGGACTTGGTTCCCCATCCCTTCGGGGGTAGCCCTTCACCCTTGTTCCTTTGCTCTTTAAGGGAAATGCTCTGCTGTCACTGGACTCCTGTTGCTCACAGTGTTATTATAGCTTTTATACTTCCAGCAATTTAGACTTGAATATTTCAGGAGATTTTTCTCTTGCCACCCACAACCCCTTAAAAAAAAAAACCCTTGTGAAATTAGAATATAAATAAAAATTTCCAAAATTAA